TGCTCTCTAGGAATTGCTATACTGCAGAACCCAGAAGATGACCCACTTGTTTTCTTTGCTCATAATGAATTTCAGGCATTAGTGACCTATATTGGATTCAAACCAATAGTCTGCAGGTGAAAGCTCTACTGTAGCCAATTTATTCAGCAATCCAGGCTCAGCTTGAGTTTGGAATGGAGCTTTTCAGTAAGAAAAACAAATGAACCAGCTGTTCCTTGGGCAAATGTGTTATACACAGGCACTTAAGCCTCTTAAATTAGCTAGTCTCCTTGCAATGCTAGATTTTGTTTTGTGTTGTCTTAATTTCTCTTCCTGCAGCAAGTCTGTCTGGGGGAAGGGAAGAAGAGATGGAAATCTGCTCAGTTCTTAAGATTTGGGCATTTCTGAGCAATCCTGCTCAAAATCTTAAAGTTATAGAAGGCACATCATGAACAGAGAACAAGAAATCTGCTGCTTTTTCTGAAGAGAGAACGGTATGCAGTTTAATGCCAAAATGCCATTAAAATGCATTAAAACTTTTTCTGGTTTTAGATGAGTGTGGTCATATATGCCTGATTTCAATAACTCTTGCAAAAGTTTACCTTCATGTCATTTAGGTCTCTTAAATTGTCAGTCCTTTCACGTGCAGGACAAGTAAGTCCAAACTCTGAACTGCTTAGGGGTGGAAGCAGTATCTCAACTGGTCCTTTTTTAGTGTTTTCCCTTACCAATCCAGAGAAATACCTCCAAGCTAATAATCTAAGTAAAACAAAGTTTTTATGGCCTGCAAGGCAATTAATTTCAAAATGTTCCAGTTCCGTATGCTTGATGATCACATCTGCATATTTTTCTGCCCAAAACTCTCAAGCTGTCTCCTACCTGGATAACAACCAACAAGAAGCTCTGCCTCTCAGCTCCTCCCAGAATTCCTCAGTCTCCAAGCCGATATTACTTTTGAAATATTAAAATAATCCGCTGTGGTTTTAGCATTGTATCTTGTGTTCTATCTGACTTGAATCAAGCCTATAAAGTTAACTCTGTAACTGTGGTGCAGCATCGATACTGAATGATTCTAGATCTTGCTTGACAGTGTCAGTCTTTAACTGGGAGATTTTCAGAGTAATGAGTTGGTCATTTTGATTCTCAAAGCACTCCTTCGATCGTGTGCTGTGGCACCTAAATTCTGGATGATAGAAAGTTGGAGAAGACTAGGGTTTGGGTGAGTGGGTTGGTTTGTTGGTTGGTTCTGTCACTGAATTTCCTCAAAGTCAGTTCTCCATGTTGATACCAGGATGTTTTGTGTCCAGGTTTATTAAAATCATGTCAACATGTACAGGAGTATTTAAATACACAAAGAATACTCAAGTATATGAAGTATTGATCAGCTTAGTTTGTCCTCTCCTCACTACTGTTGTAAGATCTTGTTATAACATCTTGATCTTTAATGTCCAGTACAGAATCCTTTAACCAGACCCGTGTGCCTGCTACCCATCCTCTCTGCTGCTTTCTCCCTGAAATCTGCCCCTTTTACATGGTTTCTTTGCATGATCCAACAGTGAACACTCAAAGTACCAACTCACTCTAGGCTTTGGCATCTGAGCTTGGTCTGGTTGCCTGATGTAGCATCTGGCTGCAGGATCTGGGGAAGGAGGGGGAGGCAGGGAAGAGGCAAGCTGTCTCAGTGGGGCTGGCGAGTGCTGTCCTCAGGCCGCTCTGAGCACCCTGCCTGCCTCAACTGCAAAACCTCTGTTTGCATTCCTTTTTCCTTCTCTGATTTAAGGGAGGCTGCATCCTTTCTATGCTATAACTAGCTGGTGAGGATCCTGGTTGCCTAGGTAACAGGGAAACAAAAAAAAAAATTTTTTTTTTCTTTTTTCTCTGTTTTCTCATAAGAGCTTGACATTCTTTCAGTTCCCCTTCCTGATGAATAACTTGTGTGGCCCAAGCTGATGTATCTTGCCCTAAGGATCAGAAACATGGTTTTCAATTATAACAGCAAAATTATGAAGGGGTTTGTAGTTTGGATGTTTGATTTCCTGCGTGCCTTGGGCTGCGTAAGGGATGCTGCAGCCAATGTCTCGGTGAAAAGCTGCCACCTGGCTGGTGAGATTGGCCTTGCCATGGTGGCTGTGGGCAGTTCAACCACTTTCTCTCTTCCTTCGTGATAACTTGTGTTTGCTTGCATCATTTAAAATAGCTCTACACTCACCACACCTTCTGGTTAAGACATTCAGCTATCATTTCGCTTTTGAACACCAATGTGGCACCCCTTCGTGTTTTGCCTTTGAGTTTGTTACCATTTACAACATCTTGAAGGTTGTAGCAGAGCCTGACCATCTCCAAAGATCACTTAACCGAAAGCTTTGTGAAGCCCAGAGGGAGTTAGCTGGCTAAAGTGGACCAGGCTGTGTGTGCATAGCTCCTTGTCTCTTTGGAGGTGAGGACCAGCACCTCATCTCCTCCGTGGAACTCCAGCTCGGCCTTCAGCAGGCACGGTGTGCTGGTAAGGAGGTGGTACCATCATAAAGTCTCTTCTGCTCCCAGTAGTTGTCTTAGGGACTCGTTTTTACCAGTATGAGTGGAAGGACAGGATTACTGGTGAGGTTTATGGTCACCTGTTGTTACCTTAACAATTTGTTATAAACCGTTTCTCAGCATGGGATGGAACTGTGCAGTTTTTATTGGCAAGAGGTTTCCTCTAGTGTGTCTTTTTTTTGGTTGTTTTGTTTTTTTTTTTTTTTTTCTTTCTTTTTAAAAGACAGACCTCCAAGTTAGCTACTGTTTCACAGGATTTTTTTTTAATATTGCTTATCTGATTATGATTAAGCAATCCAGTGTTTATAGCATATGCTTTGACCTTGATGTTAGTTCAGCTGGGCAAGGATATAAATGATGAAGAAATTCCTTAGCAAGCTAACCCCATGGTATTTAAAATTAACTCTTTGATATGCTATTCTAAAGTGGGAGCATTCTTTTTAAGATACATGGCTTTTTAAAAAAAAGATATAGGTTTAGCTGCCCTGGCTAAATTCAAAGACTGTTGAAGTTTGGATTTTTTTTTTTTTTTAGCACCAAACAACATTTATTTCTTTCTATGAACCGTGATTCAGAATTTAGTACTGTGACATTTACTAAATAGATCAAGTCTACAGAATGAAATGAACATTGTAAAATAAAATTGAAGTATGGGAACTTCAGGCTTTAGTCTGTAAATCACAAAGTACCATGAAAGGTATGGATCCAATACAGTCTTGATAAAAGCTGGTTTGCTCTGAGATTCATAAATGATACAAGACTGTGATGAGTGATATAGCTATGTTTTTCTGGATTTCCTTTTTTTTTTGTTTTGTTTTCTCAATAAATCTCAGGGCATAGCTGCCTTGGTGAACCTGTACAGACAGAAAATCCTTGAAAAGCAGCTGTACCTAAATCATTGATCTTTTAGCCAAAGTTTCCTCTATGTGTTTTCATCAACACAAACTATCCTTAAAAAAGAGGGGGTTCTGTCTAAAAGGAAGAAGATTTCCAGCACAAAATGCTGCTGTCACAGTGGTCTGAGTGTCACGGTATATCCCGAAGTTATAATTTTATATTACGGTAATTTGCTGATCAAACAGCAAAGTTTAAGACAACTCACTGTCAGCATGAAAAAAACCTCTGTCTAAAAAAAAACACCCACCCTTAGTTTCTAACAAGGAGCAGTTGGATGTTGTGTGCAGAACTGCCAAGTCAAAGAGTTTTTCAAATATTCTGTAGCTCAAGGACTTGGCTCTTCTTCAAACATTTCCAACTACAAAAGGATGGGTAATCTTGCAAGTGAATGTGCCCCCTCTAGGGGCAAAAATGTGGAAACTTGTTATAGCAGGTAAATTCGAAACAGGGGAGAAGCATTTGCTTGGAGTGTGAAAATTGGGGTTTTTTTTTAACCACAGTGAGAAGGGATTTCTGCTGTCATTTAGGATGCAGCTTCCTCAGCATCTCGGTTTCCTGGCTCACTGCAAGAGGTGTTGTGTGCTGTATGCAGCAGGGCTCTGCTTTCAGCCTTCTCTTACTGTAACTCTTAAAACATTATGAAAAATGTGTTGCCATTTTTCCAGGGTAGTTCTTGAAATATCTTTATAAAGTGCGTCTCATACTGTGAAAAATTCAGCTTGTATTTGTTTCTTCAGTAAGTGTTACAATTCTTGAGCTGTTCTGTGCACATTGTACCATTTTGGTAAGACGGAATGCCACGTGCAAGGCAGCACACCACTGCCCGGTCATTTTAACACAAACGCCCAGATTATCCTGAGGAGCCTCTCGGGAGTCTGGGGAAATAAAAATCAGCCTTGAAATTTCAGGGCTTTGAATATGGCAGTTACAGATGCTGTGCAAATATAAAGTATGTGCTGGGTGTCGTTGCTTTGGTGGTGACACCGTGCTCTGTACAAAGCCGCAGAGTTGTCTGACTTGGGTGGTCGTGTTTGTTTGTTCTGGCAGTGTTCAGTAAAACATGAGTCCTGTACGAAACCATTTCAGCAATTTTTGAATGTTTGAGAAGTTACAAAATCTTTCTTTCACAGAGGTCTTTTGCTTTTGGTCTTTGCCATTTTGTCTTTTCACAGCTTGGGTTCAGGATCACATAATTCATCCAAGTAGCATTTTCTGGATGCATGTGTGCTCTGAACCTCAGGGCGTGCTGCCAGAGAAATACTCCTTTTTTTTTCTAAAATGACTCACGGGGAGAGCATCATCTTCCCTCATCTCTTCCTGCTGTTTTTGAAGTTTTCCTGGTTTATGTGGAGGGAGGGATGCATTTAACTTTTAGGGGGTGCTTTTAACTCAACGCTAAGTTTACATATGAGAAGGTGAAGCAATTTTTAATGAAAATTTTGAGATATTTTTATCAATCCTTTAAAGCCTGAATTCGGACCTCATCACTCAGATGGTTTAACAGTAGGGTAAATGCTTCTGAGCCTGACCACTTCAGTGTTAAATGTGAAATGCATTCATACTCATTTTTTCCCTCTTATCTCCTAAAGGTGCTCTTACAGAGTGTTACGATGAACTGGGCAACCGGTACCAGCTTCCCGTCTACTGCCTCGCCCCACCTATCAACATGATAGAGGAGAAGGGTGACCTGGAGACTCTGGATATTCCCGATCCCCCACCCAATTCAGGGCACGAATGCCAGCTTCGTTTGCGCCTGTCCACAGGCAAAGACCTCAAACTCATGGTCCGCAGCATGGACACGGTGTACCACATGAAGAGGCGGCTGCACGCGGTGGAGGGAGTGGAGCCGGGCAGCCAGCGCTGGTTCTTCTCGGGCAGGCCGCTGGCAGACAAAATGAAACTGGAGGAGCTGAAAATCCCAAAGGACTACGTGGTGCAAGTCATCGTGAGCCAGCCCTTAGCAAATCCCACCCCGGTGGAAAACTGATTTCTGCTTGTTTATTGATTCTTCTTTCCTCCGTCTCTGTCATGGGGTTTGTTTTCACTGCCCTCTCTTTTGGTTTGTCCTGCTAATGGATTGGTTCCAAGAAATGACCAGCAAAAATTCCATCTGTGATGGAGATCTGCAAAAACAAAACATAAAAATGTAAACTGGCCTTTGGGGTTTGCCTGATCATCATATTTAACACAACAGCAAGCAGCACAGGGCAAGGGTAAAGGAAGGGAGCAGGAAGGGGAAGGGAAAAGGGAGGAGGTACAAAGAGGGAGGGAGGAGATTGTCGTTCACTTAAACAATACAAATATGTAATGATTCTCAAAACTGTAGGTGGTGTCCTGATCCATGGAGCCAGAACAACAGAGAGCACTTTTTAATTCTTTTATTATTGTTAAATAAAACTAATCAATTTATAAAATTTCATATCAGCACCACATACAGTTCATGCAAGAATCGCAGCTGCTCTGGGTAGGTCCTACGCTGCCTGCTCACGGGGATCCGTTCTGGTCTGGCCGAACTCGCGTGCTTCGCCCAGGCGCTGCCGAGGCACAGCCGGCCCGGGGCAGCGCAGCTGGGCGGGGGGCTTGGTCTCCGGCCCACGGGGGCAGCTCTTGGTGATGCTCAGACCAAGCAATTGTACATTCCAAGATGGCAACACAGTCCTGTGCCATTGCTGGCTCCCGAGCTGGGAACGCAGCCCACCGGAGCCTTAGGCAATAACTTAGTCAATGTATACTCTCATGTACTGTACTGTAAACTTAACTTGCTACAAGACTGACTTAGCCTGAAGTTTACCGGCTGACTGGCACCTGAGTGCGTGCCTGCTGAGTTACTGTATATCACTCAGATCATTAAAACAAGCTTTGATCAGGCTAGCTAAGGTGAGTGATGCGCTGGTCTGGGCTTAAGCGTTAGGTGCGTCACCTTTGTCTAACGGCGCCAGTGTAATAGGTCCAGTTTAAACTGCAATTACACCCAGATACAATGGATTGCAACTTCCCCTGCTCAGTTCCTAGAGGGCACAAAGCGTGGAAGATGGGAAGGAGGACACGACAGCACACAGTTTTCAGCTTTTCATGTGAGTGTCGTTTGAAGCAGCAGCCAGTCTTCTAGCTCTGGTGACTCTCCAGCCAGGACAATGGAGGTACCTTCACTGACACGCTCCCGTGGCCCAGAGCGTGGCGTAGTGTTTCACAGCCAGTGCTTTCCCTTCAGAATGTAAGAGGAGCCCTTTCAGCAAATGACAAATCCTTTTGTAGTCTCAGAAATCTGAATTGGAGCGTACTGGCGGTGGGGGACACAACACTCTAAGTGCTTGACCCCTCAGAGACGCTCTCTGTGTTCCTTTGGCTGCACTGCAGCCCTGTCTGGTAATGCCTTTGGGTGAGATCGAAGGCCCTGTTCCTTTTAAACATGATTTCTAGATTGCTTAGTTTTTCAGCTGTCACTGGAATGACTTCACTTCTTCCAAAGTTGAATGTGCTATTCAGCTATGAATAGCATGTTTTTATTGGTTTCTGTCTTCCCTCTCTGAATCAGTGGTCCAAAGCTACAGTTGTCACAGCTCTTTCTCATCTGCTAGTGCAACTGGTGTGTTACACTGACAATTTTAAAATTGTTACTTTATCTCCTTCATTAATTCCACAGAATTCAGTTTCTCAGACTCGAAGGAGGTTCTTGCTCCACGAGCATCAGCGTAGAGCCAGAACGAGCAGAGGTCACTTGTACAACAACACGAGTCTTTCCCAGCAGGTGGAAGCAGGCGCACAATTTACATTGATGGTTGGAAAACAGACCCACAGTTTATATGCATTTCCCGCCATATCCCAAATAAATATAGCTTTCTTCTTGGTCCCCGTGTTTTATTAAGCCTATGGTTTTCTGACAGCTCCTTTAGCCCGCATTCGGTACAGGATGACTGAAGTGCAGTGGCAGAGCTGTATAAAGGAAAATTAGTCCCCTGTTCTCATAAACACCAAAGTGACTTGGTTTTATTTTTTCTTTTTTTTTTTTTTTCTTTTTAAAGATTAAATCAAAGCTGATAAATACTAACCTATAACAAAAGTTTTCTATTGTGGAATTTTGTTAAGACAGATATGATTTACTATACCGGGTTTTAGCAGCCAGATCTTTTGCATTCCAGAGGGGAAAAAATATTTGATATATAAACAACTAAAAAATCTCTTGGATTTTCCCTGGGCAAAGGATGGTTTCATGCCAGGAAGACCCTACTTGTCTTGTAAGGCATAACTTGCCTTTAGTCAGAATGGTTTTAATGATGTCATTTCCATGCAGTCTCTTCTGGAAGGGGGGAAATTGTGATGGATTGAGGAGGAGCAAACCAGGGTGACAGTTCTGTAACTGTGAACACAAACACTACTTTTTTTTTGTAGGATACATTTTGTTGAATTTTTTTTTTTCTATTTTGAGTTCAGGCAATTGTCACCATGTTTTGAGATGAAAGCTCCTTCTTTCCCTCTGCCACCTCTTAGCTGGAAAAGGCTCAGTTTTATTATGCCGTAGTAGATTACCGTGCTTTATATTAATTGCTTTTATGTCAGGGAGCAAGGTGATGATCTGAAGACCATGTGAGTGGGCTATGAGTAAAACAGAGAACTGATTCATGAAAATAGTATTTTCTCTAACAGCCTCCCCCCGCCTCCTGTCCCTTAAGAACATATCTAAAACTGAAAAAATTAAATAGTAAAATGCTTTTAGAGGTGAAAGTGAAGACTTTTCAAGCTCTTCTTTATAAAATGACAGATGTACTAAGCACATACCCAGCTGGAAACAAATTTTACAATATTTGTATTAGGAAGGAATTCTAAGTTTCAAAAAAACCAAATGTATATTAAAAAAATATCAGTAATGAAGGGATGCAGCATGTTGACTCACCTATTCCCATGTATATAACTAGAGGTTGCAATATACGTTGAGAGAACGGTCGTTTCTGTCTCCGAAATGTCTTGTCTTTGTCCTTTGAGAGAGTCTTCAGTGCAAATGCCGGGGCAGGGGAGCGGGCCGGGGCTCCTGGGGGAGTCGTGGGGGTTCCCGGGGCAGGGAAGGCTTGTTCCATTGCAGAGCAGAGCGGGCACGGCCCGAACCGCAGGCTGGCTGGCAGCCCCGGGCCGGTGCGGGTCTGCGCGGCGGGCACCGGCGGCTGCTCCCGGGGAGGATGGCTGGAAGCGCGCCGGTGCGGGGGGTGAGCGTGCAGCTGGGTCTTGCATGCCAGCTGGCGTGCTGCCCCACGCCGTGGGGTGTCTCGGGTATAACTGGAGCAATGCAACAGGTTTTAGAATACATGCAGGCGTGAACTGCAATGCCAAGTACAGACGAGTGAGGAGTAATAGGATTTTTTCTTTTATTTGTTAGACCCATCAGCCCTTTGTGTCATTCTTGATGAGCTCTGGCTATGAACTGATGCTGGTAGGCAACATTTTTTTACCATGTTAGTGACAGGTCTGTTGATGTGATTCAGATTTTTATACTCTTTATTGTTACTTCTACCTGAACCAGAAGTAATAATCTAGTGAAAATCCACAGTCCTGAACAGCTTGAAGGGCAGAGAGGCATGAACGCACATAATCAGTCTGCTGGGGCGAGGGAGCTCCAGACAAGCCTCAGATGCTGTAGGTACATTGCTTGGTGCGCTGCAGAAGGATGCTCAGGGTCATCTTCCACAACCAAGCGACAGCTGCTCCTTCAGAGCATCCAGCTCCCCAAAGTTTCATTGACTACCGTGGCTCTTTGTGCATCAGTTCTTTGGTGTCCTCTGCGGAAAACATAGCTTGGAATAGTTGTACTGCAAGAACTGTTTTATAGTTTTCTGAAAGCCTTTGCTTCTCTGGATCTGGGAAATATTTTTGAAAACTAAATTATGTGAGTCAGCAGTGTAATAAGTTGGGGTTTTTAATAGACACCCTAATGGTAAAAGCAGTAACAACAACAACAACAAAAAACCTCACCCCAGGAGCAACCAAACAAAACGCAGCTCCTGTTCACCTTTCACAGACAGTTCCTGAGTTGCTTTGGGGAGGAGAGGAAAGGGGTTCGTTGGAGCAACAAGGCAACACATGGCACTGTGCATAACCTTTGGTAAAGCAGATGGCTGACTGATAAAATATTGCTGTAGTATGACATGCTTCTGCATATATATCCATTGTTAGTAAATAATGTAAAAACTGTTTAAAAACTATTAAAAAACCCCCTTTGTTACAGTGGTGGGATGCTTTTAGCCATGGAGTTTTGAAAGCATTTTCACTGTGTAAGTGTTGACCAATTGAATGCTGTATGTTTCTCCATTTCTATCTTCTTCAGAAGCGTAGGTGGTAGCTACATTTCTGACTCTTGATCTGTATTTTACAAACTCTTTTCTATGTCATTGTACATACATCCAAGACCCTGCACCTTACGCAGAGAATGTTTACATTTAAAAAAAAAAAAATTGTTGGCTTTTTCACTGCGCTGCTCAGATCCTGTTATGTTGAAATGAAAGTAGTCTCTGTTAGAGAAAGAGGCTTTTTTTCCTTTGCCCTTCACCACTTCCCCTGTAATTCTGACTCCCCCCTGGATGATGGCTGGCAGCTCTTGGACAGCTTGTGCTCTCCTGGAGTAGGACGTGGAGGTATTTGAGAAAGGCATTTTTGAAAACTTGCTCTGGGGGGGGAGGATGAGCTTCATATGCTCTGCAACTTTCTTAGAAAAACAAAAAAATCTGCTTCAAACCCTCTAGATATTGGTGATCTGCCTTGCAAGTTAACTGAGCTAGGAAGCCTTGGAGTTAAAACTTTCCAGCAGCCATGCTTCTGTCTTCTCCCAAAGAAGATGAATGTCCTGCTATTATATCTGCAGCTACAAACACTTCTGTTGGTTAATGACTGTATATACAAGTCTGCCTGCTTTAAGACTTCCCTTTTCATAAAGTGTTTTAGATTGCTCTGTTCTGCAAATGGCTCTCCTCTTCCATATTTCATCCGCTTAGATACTCCGTAGCCGCGTGTGTGTTGCTCTTGTTCATAGGAGATGGAGCTATAGCTCTCCTTCCAAGGGAGATACATGCCACTGAGCCTACAAAAGTCAAATAGTTGGAAGATGAGATGTTTTAACCAGCGGGCTTCTTACTGTGGACTTTGAGACTTTTAATAAATGTTCCACTGGACTGTCTGTGAAAAAGTATGTTCCTGCCCTCCAAGCAGGACCACTTGTTGGGTATTTATCCAGTAGGACTCTGTATTTGTATATTTTACAGATTAAGACCATTTGATCAGAGCCATGGGGCAAATAGAGAACTTAAAATCCTGACTCCTGCCTTAAAACTTTTAGTTCATCTTGAGCTCCAAAAATTCTGCACCTGCTCGTTCCCAAGTCCCTTTTTTCTTTATGAAATTTGATACCAGTCAAAGGCTGGAGACAATTTAAGGAAATTTAAAACAAAGTAAATTTTAGCTGATGGCTTTATTAAAATAACTAACTGGTCTTGTATTAATAACCCTATTTGTGCCTCTCTTAAGTCCAGGGAATGTTTAAAAAGTGGAGGTGGCTTTTGAGCAATGATTGAAATGACTGCATTAGCTGGCAATTTGTAAGACACTTGCTTTCATATGCTCTGAGCAAGAGACTTCGGTTTGTGTCCTCTCTGCCTCATGGTAATGGCTTTCAAAGATGGCTGGTACCATCAAATTTGTACTTCTTGAATAAATATCTTCATTTTTATGGTAAAACTTTTTGTATGAAGTTTGTTTGTGTGTGCCATGTAACAAACATTCGTATTACGTAGGACATGGTGCTAGATTTGGTACTGACACAGAAAATGCACAGCTCCAACATGCAGTGAAACGAGGATGAGGGGATTCCAGGGACGTGACCATTTTTTTCCCAAGTAACTTCAGTAAAGTCTTTTAGACTCAATTACACCAGTTGTGTAAAACATGCTTTTAAACTTCCCTGCCCCCGGCTCCTTCAGTCAATGAAGAGTTCTAGGCCAATATAAAGATGCTGTGAACATCAGGTAACTTTTAAAATGCATTATGTATTTTTGTGTTGTACCTCTGTTTCTGGTTGACATATCGCAGTAGTATGTGCACATATTTTTAATGAACTGCAAAGCACAAGCAGGTTGTCTTTAGACTGTTAAATTATGTGATTTTTTTTTTTTTTTTAGCCTAGGGAAGATCTGTCACCATTGAGAATAAACCATCATGAACGTCTATTGGAAATGCTGTACAAAATTTCCTGTATCTAAAACGAAAAAGAGAAACTTTTCTCCCCTGCATTTAAAAAATAAAAGTAATCCTGGAAATGCCATGCCTTAAGAAATAAACTCAGTGTTGCTTTTCTTTTTAATTTTCTTCAATAGGGCTTTTAATTCTGGGCTGGAGCTCTACAACTTTTTTCATTACTTGTCTGATACCCTAGAGATAGGTTTTGGTAATAATTTTGGTGTTTGACAACGTTTTATCTTGCAGTAAGGTGTGCAGTCCGTGGAGAGTGCTGGGCCTGGAGCCGCGCTCAGGCACGCAGCGGGAACCTCCTCTGTGCCCGGCTCCGGCTGCCTGTCGATGTGCTTCTGGCTCCCTGGTGAACAGTGCAAAATAATGGATCTGTGTAATTGTCCTATAATTACATTAACTGACATGTTGTCTTAATTCAGGTCAACACTTTTATAGTCTTGATTAACTAACTAAGGTATCAAAGGAGTAGGAATAATTTTTTTGTAGGCCACTTCGGTCTAATGTTATCACAGCTAAACATTTCACTTATTTTTTTTATCTTAGGATAATTTCATGGTAGAATTTGTGATGTGAGTTACAAACAAGCGAAGCATGTGGTTTTCCTGGAACTTTTTCCCTTTTATACATACAAATTTTTATACCTTTTTTTGATTCCTTTTGTATGTGTATGTGTACATAATCTCTTTTATATATACATATTCTCTTTTTATTATATATATATATGTGTAAAGCAACAGGTACAGAGGCTTGTTTGTAGTAATTTTTTCTGACATATGAGACAACCCTGCTTCCATCTTCCCCAGCATGGACAGAGAAGTTCTCAGAGCTGATTTCCTCAAACACCAGAATTATAAAATGGCATGGGAACTTTCTTTACTCATCTCCTAGCTGAACAACGTGTGGTCACTTGTTGAGCACTAAGAGGGGTGTCTGTTTCCCGTTGTTGCATGGTGCATACGTACCCACACCACATTACACCGCACCAAGCTGTCCTTAGTGTGCAGCTGTAGCACATTTTGGTGTATGAAGCAGGCTGGGGAACTTTGGGAACCCCCAAAGGACATGGATTCTAGGTCAAAAACATGCAAGAATTGAAATTTTCTCAGTCACTGCAAGCAGCGAAATCAGATGCTGCTTCGCACCCTACAGCATATGAGTTTAGGGGAGAAGATGAGGTATGATTTATAGGTCTATGGTCTACAGATACAGTGTTTCTATTCCTAATTAACATACAATTAATGTTTGTATTGTGCCTATATTCATATTTCATTGACCTATATCTTGCTATATCACACCGTATAATGTGCTACAACCATCGTGGGGTTTCTGCCCTATGGTGGATGCTGCACCCTCGCGCCTGGCCCCGAGCTAAATGCTATTTGCTTTCTGCTGGCTAAAGCTGCATCCCAGTTTGGCCAGTGTACCTGTCCCACTGCGGACTGGTGCTGCGTTAACACCTGGTGCTGGGCTCCAGAGATAGCACTAAGGGAAATGGGCTTTAGCTGTGGACCCGATTTTGCTGCTGCATATGCTGGGGCAGCGGCCCCGGTCAGCGCAGGACCGCAGAGCTGCGCTGGACGCTGCGGGGAGCACCTGGCCGAAAGCTCAGGGTGGCCGGTCCCTCCGAATGTCGGCCAAAAATATCAAGGTAACTTATGGAAAAGTCACTGAGCTCTCACCTCTGCAAAGAGTGGTTCGCTGTGTTCTCTCTTTCTCTGAATAATCCCAGAAAGTTGGGATTTCAGCCACATCGTTTACTTTCTCTGGACTCTGAGCGGTTGCAAAGGTCTGAGAGGTGGGAAGCCGCCTTACAGGCGTGCTGAAACCTCGCTTCATGGGAGGTCAGTGGCGGTGCTCGGAGACTGGAATTTTCTGTTATAATTAGTCCCTTATGCTGCAGCCGTGCTGCTTAATTAGGGAAGCTCTCTAATGGCAGTGAGTTTGGAGGAGGCTCAATGGTGTGATGCCCTGTGTGTAAGGTGAGAGGGGGAAATAAATTCACTGGATTGCTGTGCCCGAAGGGTAAACAGTCAATATTTAGCAAGAGAAACTGAACTGCCTTCTTGCTTCCTCTCCACATGGACTTAATTAGGTGGTTTCGTTAACAAAGCAAACAGCATTTCCTGTCATTGGGCTGTTCCTCACGAGCACGGATACAGGGAGCTGCCCGGGCCCGGAGCACACAGGCGGGGGATGCGGAGCAGAAAGCTGCCAGCGTGACTGGCTCCAGCCTCGGAGATCAGTCTGCCCCATCTCAAACCAGCCTTGCTTTGTGTGCGTCTGAACGTGGGACAACAGCAGTGCCGGGGAGGAAGGCTGTCACCAAACCAGTGTGTAACACAGGGGATGGGAAAAGGTTGTCACTAAAATACCAAGGTGACATGCCTATCGTAGCGCATGGGGGAAGCTAATGCCAACCTCAGGCTTAGTCCTGGGGAGAGTTGTGAGGTACAAGGCTGAAGTCCAGGTTGCATGAGTCCTTCCTCCTCGTCAGACACCGGTCTCTGGTGCTGACCTTGGCAGAGCAGTGGCAGCGTGCAATGTAGAAAACAGAGCAGGCAATTGCTTTACTGCAGCGCTTTGATTTATTCACTTTCTACAAGTTTGGTACTTCTATCTGGCATTGTAAGCTAAGCCTAAGGGGACAGAGAAGCGAGGCTGTGTTCTTCCCAGCTGGGTAAAGGGTTCTTGTTAGTCAGTTAGGAGCTCACTGGTCCTGCTGGGAGGCTATTCATGATCTCTTCCTCTTTTTGTTGTTTGTCAATGCAGAAGACTGCAATCATCTTGAATTCCCTGTAGTTCAGTTGCTAGTTTTGGAGAGGAGATAGATCCCTAACTTAGCAAAGCAGCCTTGCCCAATGTAAACAGTTATTTCAGAGAAAGACCCTGCGTCCAGGCTCTCATCCCCGTCTCCAACTTGCTCTAGTTTCCTGATTGACTCAGGAGAAATTGATTTCAACTGCTCACCCCTGGCTTATCCCAAACATGTTACAGGCTCATAGGGCATCTCCCTGGCACAGGGCTGTTTCTCTACTGCATGTAATGACCTGCAGATGTTGGAGTGATTCGTAACAGCTGGGGTTATGGTGTGGCTGAGTGGCTGGGGGGGAGTGGGGTGCCTCCACGGCTGTGTCACAGCCACACTGCTCCTGCTTAAAGTGGCCTTTTAATCAGGCAGCCTGGAGATGAAAGGACAGGATCCATGCAACTTGGGGCTGAAACAGCTTATTCTGGGAAACTACTCTGAGGGCATTAGAGAACTAGCCACAGGCACTGAGCAGGATGGAGGCTTTGATAACTCCCTGAGCTGCTAAACCACACAGGAAACAGGCTGCAAGCCCTGCAGGGCTTACAGGAGAGATGCAACAACTGCCTGTAACAAATAATCGAAGAGGATACTGGTGGTGGAACAAAGAGGAGGAGAGTTATCAATAAAAACAATAACCCAGGAGCCTAGCAGCAGAAAAGAGGAGAAAGAGAAGGAATGTCTCTTGGTTACTAATGGCTGTCTTGCTAAATGTGCTCCTGGAGCATGCTGAGATGCTGAAGTCATGAAGAGAGCGTGAAGCTGTGACAGAGATAAGAGATGTCTACAGTCTATTAATGACTGATTCCCTACCAGTGTAGCTGCAGGTGGTCATTAATCAGAGACTACTTCAGAGCAAGGAGGGATTTGAAAGAGCATAGGTGACCAGAGAGGGACAAAGGTGAGCTGGTGGCAAAAGCAAATTGGCAAGGGCTGTGTGCATACCCCTCCGTAAGGACTGTGTCAGTGCAGAGGGGAGGAGAGCTGGAGGGGAGGTGCTGTAACCAGGTTTGTTCCCTTTCTGGTTGCAGGGGGCTGCTCCCCACCATGGAGCAGGGATGGGAAAGATCTCTATGGCCTTGGAACCTGGAGCTGGTTTAAGGTCAAAATGAAGGATTCATCAGAGAGAAAAAAAAAAAAAAAAAAAAAAAAGAGCTTCCCCTGAGGCTCTTATCTGGCATCGACATCTCCATGGCATGTGCATAAGCCAAGGTATGGCACTAGTAACGTTTCTAGGAGTTTCAAGTCTGAGGCACCCCACCGAGGTACTCCCCTGGCTCTGAGACTGGACTGCAGAGAGCTTGGAAAATAATGAGAAGACACAAGTGAACCCAGAAGAAAATGGCTTAAATAAAGGCACTTCTGCCAGTCCTGCCCACCTCCTCTCATTAGAGTCTCCTCAGACAAAGGAATATGACTGGTTTATCCCCCCTAAAATTATTTTTTTCTGTTGCTATCTTATTGTTAAAACATTTTCAATTCAGACTGTGTGGTAAGTCACCAAAGAGCCACTCCTGAAGTCAACAGGAAAGAAACTCAGGCTTGAGTGAGAAGTGGCCAAGGGCTGCATTGAGGGGCATTTTCATGACCTAGCTTTTGACTGTAATTTCTCTAATTTTACCTCATCTCTGGGAATATCAAAGTCCTTGAATATTTTCTGAAGTTCTTTCTGGATGTTGAAGAGAAACCTTGTGACTTTAAAGTCATTAAAATCAATCATATTATCCCTGTCTATATTCAGCCATTGAAAAGTGGGTCCTGTGTGCCGGTAGATAAACTGCTTTTCAAGATAGTTCTGTTTTGGGGCAGAAAGGTTTAGAAACAGATAATAAGCACTGATTTCCTGCTTGGAAAGAATACATGGAATACCAACTGGTGCTTGTGTTCAGAGAATAGAGGTGAACTCTCCCTAGTCACACCCACAGGAAATACCAAAATCTTGGTGTTTCCTGCACTGGAGCACATGGCTGGGTTTGGGCTGTGCCAGGGAGAGATACCGACAGCCGGCCAAGCTCCAGAGCTGCTTTGTGAGGTCCTTTTCCATCCCTCCCGTGTGCTGAGTGACTTGCAGGGCTACGTCCTGTGGTTGACTCCTCTCCTTCCTCCCCGAGTCCTGCCGGCAGCAGCCCCGAGCGCTGGCCCTCGGCCGGGTGTTGGGTCCAGAGCAGAGCTGCGGGATGTGTCCGACAGCAAGGTTCAGCTCTGGGGGTAACCCTGGCTTTAATACCCCTCCTCTCCCTCACCGCAGCCTGCTGGCCTCGCTGCTTTTCCCTGAAAGGACGCTGGTCTCTCCCCAGCCTGGGCTGTGGGTGATGCCAGGGAGGCTGAAGAAGGGATCAGCACATGCTGCTAGCAAGAACCGATGGGCAAAAACAGATGCTCTGCTCTCTTCCCCACAGGTAAACACAGCCAAGGGCTTGATTTTTGGAGAACTAAGATGGACAGCCTGATCTGGGAATAGTGTTTAGATAGTTCCTACCTTGCAAAAAGTTCAGGAGTGGATTTATTCCAGAGGAACAAGGTTGGTATTAACAGGAGTCTGCTCATTTCCCTGCTTTCCTTTTCTGTGCAGCAGCACAGACTCGGGGCCCGTCTCCATCCCTTGCACGCCATGAGTAAAGATCAGTTCCAGTGAGCTGATGCCTTTTGCGGGGGTGTGGGATGGTGCAGATGTCCCTGCACCGACTCCAGGACCTGCAGGGTGCACACCTCGTGGGGCAGCAGGGTGAATGCCACCATGTAGCACGCATTAAGGCAAGTCCTCCCCCCCTCACGTTTTGGTCCAGCAAGTCAAAGAGCAGCATGCTCTGGTCCTTATTCAGGTCAGTCACATAACGGAGAAAGCAATAAAACCGCAGGTCTGGAAAACAGTGAGCTCTCAGGCATTGTCTGCACAAAGCTGAGAGCAATAATTAGCAGGATTTATTTTACTTTAAATGCCCACTGCTTACAGAAAGGTTGCACATGTAATTAAAACACAGTAGCAGACAGGAGATACTGTTCAGAATTAATGGACATTATTAGTAAAATGGCCTGATTTATGAAAGAGGCATACGTGATTTCTGCACAGAAGACAAGGTTTAAGTGCTCATAATTTTCTGTCTTTCTTCTCTTCCACCCCATGCCTGGCAGAAGAAAGGACTTTTCCAACAAACCAGAAACACTGGGAAAAGAACCCGTTTTTCTTTTGGAGGTGTCACTTTTAACTCGTGACCCACTAGCAATTATTTTTAGTCCTATTTAATCTTCTCCAGAGCAGAGGAAGAGCCAAACCTCCAAATCCAGCATTTCCCTCAAACTTCCCCAAGTGCAAACACAGAGAACAAACAGCCCCCACTAAAAAAATCTGCAGCCTGGTCCAATTCTGCTACCCTTAAATCTCTGCCAGTGGGATAAATCCATGTGAAGAGGTGTTGTCTGAGCTGGAGCACTGTGGGGGTTTGCAGAAAAAACAGAGTCAAGAACTGTGTATGGGAGGTGGGGAAGCTGTGAACCAGTGGACGGGGGGTTCCAAACAGCCTCATGTGGAGGACACTATTGGCAAGAAACCCACCTGCTTTCTAGCACGGAGCACAATCAATCTATGGAAAGGATTACATGGTGAGGTTGCTGCAGTACTAAGGAATTAGCTTCAGTGAGCCAGAAATCCCCTCTTGCCCTGTGTTCCTGGCATCTCGCTTGCACAGCTGTAAAGATCTTCATGGCTGGCCTGGGTTTTTCCTGTGTCAGTTATCTGCTCGCTGCACCAGGACCTGGTTGTCATGTTTGTACAGTACTAGCAAGCCTGACCTGGGGACTTCACATGCTGCTGGGGTGCAGGGGACAATAATACCATAAAATCAAACAGGTTGCATAGGCTCTTCGACCTTTTTCTGTCTCACAAGCAGGGAAGGAGGCAATGGAAGGGGGAAGGGGAAAGGAGTATCTTCAGTGAGAGCTGAAAATGCATCTCAGTGGCTCTGCATGGGCCCCTAAGCCGTATATATTTCAGAAGCTGATGCAGGAGTAGCCAGGCCATGTAACCCTCTGGAACAACTGGGGCATGCTAGGGCAGGGAAGACATGGTGATATATGCTGTATCTGAAAGCTTTTGGGGTATTGACAAGCACTTGTGTTAACCAAGCTGCTAGTTAATTAGTATTACAGAGTGCTGCATTTGTTGTAGCATCTGAAGTGCAATATTTGTAATGTCCCTGATCCCTGGTTTAAATCCTAAGAGATGTAACATTCTGTGTGTCTCTTTTCAAAACATGACACAGGGCCTGTAATTTTAGAGCGTTAATGCCAATCTCATTTTTAGAAGGACTTACTGTTCAGGTAATCCAGGAGCTGGAAATACTCTGCCAGTGCTGCAGCATTTCTTACTGACAACAAGCAGTGTACTTCATCCAAATGCAGGTGCTGCAGAAAACACCCAGATTTCAGCTTCATCTCAATTGGCCATGGGAGACCAGTGAAACAGAATTAGCACCATGGCAATGACCTCTCACAGAAGGAAAATTCTGCCCCAGAACCAGATTCAACCTCCATCCCACGACTTCAATGCTTTTCCCACCTTTTCAAGAATTCCCCTCAGCTGTGGAGGCAAAGGCTCCACTTCCATTCAGCGTTAAAGGATAATACGTAGTAAAATCAAGTGACAGAAATTATTTTTACAATGCTGAAGAGCATTAAATCTGATTAAAATGTGCAAGATAGCACAGACCTAAGGATTTATTTTAGACTGTAGTGCAAATCTCAGCCTCAGACAAGTGGTACCCCAGAGTCTGCTGGTCTGTGCTGAGGAGGTCCTACACAGCAGCCACCACAGGGCTTTGCTTTTCCTCTTAGCCAGGGCTTTGATATTTCTACTTTCCAGTACCCGACAGTGTCCTGTGCAACGTGTCAGGGAGCTATAGCTCTGAGATGGCTGCTTTTGAATGCCCAATTTCTTGTTCTAGTTAGCTGTTAGAAAGCTGAACTGCTCTTATATTTATATAAAGTGATTATCACCTATTTCTCTTCCAACCCAGAGCAAGTCCAATCCAGCACAGCAATAACCACTGAAAGTGCTCTTTATTCCTTACCCCTAACCTATATCACGAATACTACTAATAAAATCTAACTCCAGTGGCTTAGTGTGGTCGACAGACCCTCTGTAACCCTACATTTAAAACACGGAGCTGTATGTAGTCTTGCAGTCAGGGCAGCAGCTGCTGGCTCTGAGTGGTCGTGGTTAACACTAGGGTGGTGCTCGTGACCATCTGTCCGTAGGACCAGAGGTGCTCCCGGGAGCCTGGGGCAGGTCTGCAAAGGTTTGGTGCATTTCTGGAGTTCACGTTCCCTTTATCTTATTTATCACTTGAGAAATAGTAAGAAGTAGTAATCCACAGACAGATAATTAACCTGTTTGCTGATTTGGTTTGATACATGTGAGCTTTCTGGAAGAAATGGATGGAAAGAATTCAGATGGCCAATTCCCTTTTGCTACAGAGCCAAGAGAGAACAAATCTCCTTGTAGGGTGTCAAGTGCTGGATAAAAAATGCCACAGCCCTCAAAATTCTGGGCTGAATCAGAGCTGCTCAGAAACTTTTGAAGGAGTAATTTGAGTTTGCAAGGTATATACCAGCAGAGAAATCATCTCTCTGAGACCTGATCTGATCAGCCTACCCTCAGCTAGTCTACGGGGCATCTAACTATACTGAAAGCTCTTTGGCAGAGGATTTATACTGGATTCCATATCCTTACAGCACCTGATAAGGACAGATATCTCCAATATGTGCCCATAGCTCTTGTAGGGGCAATTACAAAGATGACAGAGCCAAACACTTATCAGGGAGGCCGATGACAGAACAAGGGGCAATGACCACAGGCAGCAGCTTTGGTGGTCCAGTGGGACATTAGGAAAAACCTTCCCCCAGGATGGTGATGCTCCCTGGAGCAGGTAGCCCTGGGAGGTCGTGTCCACTCCAGCCTGGGAGGTTTTTCAAGCCTCAGATGGACAGATTGCTGTCTGACCTGGCCCAGTGCTGGGGACACTCTTCTCCAGGAGGGAAGTTGGCCTAGATGATCTTTGGGGATCCCATACAAGCAATACTTCTATGGGTGTGTACAATGCCCAGGTCCCCTAGTACAATAACATAAAAATGCTACTGTTAATACAAATGATAACTTTAGAAATGATAGCTAAAACACTGGAAAAAATTGAGATTAAAGGGCATGAAATTCTGAAAGTGGTTGTTTTGTTTCTGTTCTATTCTCTTCTTACTCCAGTATTGCCAGATCCATACATTGTGTCAGATCAGGTCCAAACCCCATGAAGTTAGGTGAAAACAAGTGCTCAATTCTTTTCAGCTTCTTTCTGTTTCATGGATATATTTGGGTTGCATTTTTCAGCTTGTTTCTCCTGCAACTCAGCGGTGAGAAGGGAAGAAGTGGGGGAACACAAAACTTTCCTCAAAAAAGTCAGATGAAATTTTCCTACAACTACAGATTTCCAGGAACTGGAGTTTTGAATAGTTTTTCAAGCATCAGTATCGGGAAATTCCCAATAGAAATGTGATGGCTGATCATACCAGGATAAACCCAGGTTTTTTCTGAACGGCAAAGACAAGGAGAGGCAATGATCAGCCTCCGTGCTCTAGGGTATAATATATCGAGGAACAAATGAGAAATCACCAAGGCCAGATGTTCTCAAACTGAGCTGCTGAGTTTTGTCTGCATTACACTTCAGGATGGAGTGTGCAAATGCACCCCCTCCCGTATCTCCACCCTCGGCTTGTTCATGGGACACATATGTGGGGCAAAATACCCACGCTGGTGTGAGCCGTGTTGGTACCACCGAGGTTTGCATGGACAACCACTTACCACTAAGCCCTCTGTTAAAACCAGAGGTATTCTGAAGCGTGGCTGCACCGTCGGCTATTTCCCCTAGATGTCCCCATTTAATACTTGATTTCATGTTGGTTTTTCAGAGGATTTGAAGTTTTGCCAGCGAGAGGATGCAAACCTTCACACTTGACACCAGTTGGGTCACATCTTCTCTAAACCAAATTCAGGGCGGGCGCCGGCGGTGCTGATACACTCGAATTCCTGCTACTGGGAGTTCTGAAAATATTTGTGTTTGACTGTTTTCACATGAGATGAACTGGGGGAAGAAGGAAACGTCCCTCTGTTGCCAAGGCAGTTTCGGATCATGTTTTCGCCCGCCGAGATGCGTCTCGTCGCTCGTCCCCCGGCAGCGCAGGGCGGGAGGATGCTGGTGGCTCCCCACGCTCCCTGTGCCGGGCTGAGCAGCTCCAGACCTTTCCCTCCAGCTCTGGGTGCACTCAGCCTCACCCTCCGACGCTCCGGCCTCCCTCCTGCCGGGTGTTGGGGGGGGGGTGAGGATACGGGGGGCGGGGGGCTGCTCGATTTGCTCAGCGGCACGGCTCGCCGGTTTGGGGCCGAAAAGGGCCGGTTTGGGGCCGAAAAGGGCCGGTTTGGGGCGTAGCGTGCGGCACCGGGCGCCGGTGGCCCCGGCGCGGGGCGGGGCGGGGGGCGGGCGGCCAGCGGGGCCCGGGCCCGCAGGTGGAGCGGCGCCGGGTCCACGTGCGCGGCGGGAGGCGGCCCCGCCCCGCTCCCCGCCCCGCTCCGCTCCCCCCCCCGCCGCTCCCCCCGGGGCCGGGCGCGGGACCGCGGCTGGCGGCGGTTCCCCGGCAGCCCCGCCATGGCTTTCGCGAATTTCCGCCGCATCCTGCGCCTCTCCACCTTCGAGAAGCGGCGCTCCAGGGAGTACGAGCATGTCCGCCGCGACCTGGACCCCGGCGAGGTGTGGGAGGTGGTGGGGGAGCTGGGCGACGGCGCCTTCGGCAAGGTCTACAAGGTGGGTGCGCGGCGGGGGGGGGGGGGGGCACCTGCGGGGGTGCGCGGGGGCCTCCTCCCGCAGTTTGGGGCGCGCTCGCAGGCTCCCCGCTTGCTGACCGAGCCGGGGAGCCGTCTGCGGTGCCGCGGAAAAATAAAAAACCCTGGCGGGGGCTGGGGCCGGCTCCGCGCATCCCGTTAGCTGCTGCCGGCGGGACGGGGGGGCAAAGACAGCGACTCAGCCGGGGGGGTGGGAGTTCCCCCCCCCCCCCCGTTCCCCTTTACATCGCCTGTTTTCAGAGCGATGCTTTTGTAAAGTGACGAGGTGTCCGTGCCAAGGCTGCCGGTGCAATGAATGGAGGGAGATTTCTTGGAAGTCAGCAGTCTCGGGGCTGCCTCCAAGTTTTGCAAGCTTCCAGGGGTGGCATTGTATTTGTATTCCTGTGGTCCTCAGCGGCAGGAGTTTTAGAGCAAGAAGAGGAGCCTAGGTCCTTAAGAGCAGGGACATGTCCAGTGCTATGAATGTTTAACCTTTATGTTAAAGGATGGGGTTTTAAAGGCCAAATACTCACTGCACTTTGCACTCCAAAGCAACAGTGCTCTTGTTGTTACTGGCTCTGAAATACTCTGGACTCCTGTGCAACAGTTGAGAGAGGAGGCTTGTGGCTGGGGATGGCTGGAGAAGCAGGTTGGGGATCCATCCTCCTCAGGAGACCTGTGTTACATACGTAATTTAGAACTGGGTTTGTGAATTAGCTGTTGGGCAGCTGGTTTTTGATGGTCTCATTAGGTCATTGAAGAAGGTATTGCCTTTTCAGAACTGAGAAACAAACAGTAAATAAAGAGAAGGCTGGGAAGGGAGCTGGTTGGTTGCAGGTCAGGACAGAGGTGTTTTACTACAGTGTCCTGAGATTTGTTATATTTACTTGTTGTCTCTATCATGTTATTTGATAGAAACTCTCTAAAAAACTGGGCGCTAAGTATCCATTGAGTGGAATTATTTGGTGAAAGATGCTGTCTTCTAATAAAATACAATTCCTAAAAATCACATTTAAATCCCTGATATATTTATCCTTCCAAAGACAGCACCAGTAGTAATCAGTGCATCTGTTACCAGTTTACTTGGTGTTGGGCATTGGAAACCTTTTTGTATATAGCAACATTCACTCTTCTTCTGGATAATTACTTGCTTATAATTGCTTAGTTTCTCATGCAATGATAGGAGTGAGGTAAACATTGTACAAGGAGTTAATAGGCTCCTGAGACAAATGAAAACTCAGAAGAATAACTTATTTAAATCCTTTCTATTTTAAACATGTATAACATATCCAAAGTAGATAACTTTCAGAATAAAGCTACTTTGTGTGTGGCTGATTTGGTTTTTAAGTCCATTGTCATATCCGAATGCCTCTGCTATTAACTACAGCCTCACACCAATAATAAAATTATCAGAGTAACTTCATGTACTGTAGGCTAAGGAGGTCAGCCTGTGAGGTAGTAACATCTCCAACTCCTATCTCCTTTGATCCCCATTTTGACCCAAATGAGAAGGTGGATTGTAGTAAATGAGACAGCGAAGACCACATGTTTATAACCAGTAGTTCAATCCATCTGTAACTAGTACATTCAGGCTACTGTCTGCTTTTGTGATGTTTTAACACAGTTGATCGGGGTGGGGGTTAATGTTGTGGCAGAAATCAAAGGGCTATTTTACTCTTCTTAATAAAGTTTTAATTCTCCATTATCTCTGATCTCTCTTCCGCCTGTGCTCCATCCTAGTTGGCAAAACTCTTGTGAAGAGTTCTCATGCAAGATTTTGTTTGTTTGTTTAAGAATCCCAAATTATTTGGGTGCCACATACTATAAAGCCTTATTTTAGATAATAGCTAGTAGTGTTATTACAGAGATGTAGTTTCCTGCTACGCTAAGATTTAACTTGCATATTGTCTTCCATTGTCTTTCTAAATCTGGAGTGCTACCCTAGATAGTGATGCGTATAGGATGGAGATGTGAAAGAAGAGGCTTGCCCTCTTGTTCAGCTCAGCTGCCAAAAACCCCCAAACCAACCAACCCGCTTGTGTGCAAAAACATAGCTGGCCAACACGCAGTGAACAATTTTAATCATTCTCTTGAAATCACTTTAAAGTCAATTTGCTCTTCATACAAAAGCGATCGTGTAGAGCAAGTCCGAGTGTTTGTATGGCCAGGAGAGTTTCAGGATGTTTGAATGAAGTTCCTGCCTGTCTTCCGCCCCTTTTCCACACGTGGAAGCATGGGGAGGTGATATAATCCGTCTGTGCCTGCATCCTGCCCTACGTACCATATGTTGTACTTACTCCAAAGGGCCTGTTGTCCCAAAGCAGTGCAAAAGGATGGGATTTGTGTACTGAAGAGTCTGACCTGGGAGAAGTGTAGATGTGGATAGAGGAAAAATGTGCTAATTTCAGTAGGTTTTGTTTTTCTGAGGCCAGGTTGAGCAGGAGGAAGGAGTGCTTGGCTGGGCAATGGTTTTACTGGAGAGTGTTACTGCCCTGTAGAGCACTGTCAGGGAGCTGTGTCTTGAACTCCCCATGCACTCAGCTGAGCAAACTTGAACTGGTTTGACACAGCATGTACAAAAGTAGGACAAGCTTAATTTAAATATATATTAATTAAAAATAATCAAATCTAGTGGAGTCTGAAATGTCTACAGCAGACCTTAAGAAACCTGCAGCCAGCGGGAACTACTGGGATTTCTCTATTTTTATACAAAGACTTTTTTCAGCAAAAGAGGACCTGATTGTATGAAGAAACAGTAAAACCCGTTGCAGAGGGTAATGAAGCTGAAAAGTAGGAAGGGGGTGGGGAGAAACTGTTTCTTTCTAGCTCTCATTCTATTAATGTCTTGTTTTTGGTAAATCCAGTGTGCACGTTAAGGAAGTGATAGCAGCCCACAGATAGCAACGCACTGCATGCCAAATATGCTTTGTTACCCACCTCATCCGAAGCTCATTAAATCGATGATCTTAAATAAGTCATTAGGCCAGCAGTTGGGCGCTGTCATCACTGTGTGCTAGCCTGGGAAGTCTGCAGCACCTCTACAGTAGCAGGCCAATAAAAATACAAGTTCTGAACTCAGACCCTTTCTAAACAGCCTTAAAAAAGCCCAGTTATTTTTCTTCAAAAACATGTAAGATACAATTCATAAAATGTATGGCTGTGGCTTTACTGGTTCAAAGTTGACGTCTGTTTGCATGTGCAGGGAGGGAGAAGTCGTGGCAGCACCCCCGTGAGCTGCTTTGCTGAAGCCAAGCCGTGCTGACCTCGGGGCCGTGGGGATGCTCCGAGCGGAGGCAGCGGTGCGCGCTGCCGTGGGCTCAGTGCTTGGGGTGGATGAATCGCATCTCGGTCCTGCAAAACCCATTAGTTGGTGTAGTATTTACTGTTGCAGGTAGTTCCATTAATGTCAGCAGGAACAGACACACAAGGGCTTTTCTGGGCATTGAGAATTCATAAGCTAGCAGGCGATGGACTGGATCTTACAAAAGCGTGGGCTCTGCTGGATGAAGACTTTCTCGTGGTGGGATGGTTTTGCGGCACTCATGCCTCTTGAGAAATGCTATCTCCCCTTCCCAGCCCATGCTGATGGGGATGCTGGCTCCCCGATAAGGCTTCCTCCTCGCAGGGTGGGGACAGGCTGTCCCCTGTGGGAGCGTGGGCTCTGCCCGCAGCCCCCAGCGTGGCAGAAAAGGGGTTTGTTCATGTGAACTCTCCTTCAAACGACTCTCTGTGCTGGCTCCCAGGGAGATAACGCTGAACCCCGTGCCACAGCAAGTCATAAGTGTGCCTTTTATGTTGTTGTTCTCCTTTCTTCTTAAGATACAGTTTTAAAAAGCTGAATTTAGGTTATCTGATCTATTATGGTGGTATTAGTGCTGTACACACTATGGATTATAAATGCTTTGTTTTGAAATTTGGGTAATAAAAGACTAATTGTTAAATGTTGTGCAGCTGCCTTATAAGCCTGGCTTTCACAGCGATGGGCCCGTTCAAAGGCACGAGGCCGTCCCTGTCACTTGCAGACCCTGCTGCTCGCCAGCCGAGCCTACACCACTCTGGCTCAGCTCTTGTCAGTTTGATTCATGAGGGATTTAATATGTAATTCCTGGAAAGGGTGTCATGGAGAGATGCTAATCTGCTGAGTTAGGTTGGTTTTTTTTTTTTAAAAAAAAAAAAAGGAAGGAAAAAAAGGGGTGTGGGAAGCTTAAGTTGATTATAACTATAGCCACCAAAAAAAGTAAAAAGCAATTGTAAGATCAAATCATGGCCTTGTCCCTTAGAACAGCCAAAGGGTTTTCTTAAAAATGCTTCATCTGGGGACAGAAGAGAAATGGGAAGACACCACTCGTTTACTTATAGAGCAGTGGCCCAACAATATTAAACCTAGCTGAACTTTAAACTTGATGCTCACTGAAACGTGTGATGCTCCATCCCTGCTGAAGTGCCGTGCTCTGCAGAGCCATGGTTGTATGTTTGTGGCAGGGGAGAAGGACAGCTCTCCATGGCCTAAATATTTTGATAATGACTTCAGTGTCATGGCCCAGAGCTTGGCAATGCTACTGACAGTGGAAGCTGTGGGCAGCTGTGTGGAAGAGAAAGCTTGGATGAAGGCTTTGAGCCCTTCACCCTCAAGCATGTGGCAGTTGTTGTTCCTTAGAAAAATCCCTGCCCAGCATGTCTCATGATTTCTTTTTTTTTAATTTTTTTCTTGAGTGTGCACTTTATGTGGAAAAAAAAGGTTCTTTTTCTCATCCTTGGGGTGCTGCTGTCTGTAAATCCGGGGTTTTCCTCATGAGTCTCACCCTCGCTGCCACCCCACATGGTCGTGGGTCCCTGGGGGGCTCTGCCCACCTGCGGTGAGTGCCTGTGCTGCCCCCCCATCCACCCGCACGGCCAGCCTTGCTCAACCCGAGATCCCCAGAGAAAAGGAATTCCGCTATGAAGAGCTAAGTCACTTCAAAAAATGTTCATTAAAGTAATGAA